TACTTAGCTCCTATTCCCAAGTTCATCAATTAGGTAAGTGAGGGGAGAAGGGATGGCTAGAGGTGTTCCTTTCATATTCTTAGTCCTGAGTCATAGAGTCAAAACCTTCACTCTATCAAAACAAGAGGAGTGGAGTATAGGTGTTTCCCCTAACAACAGGCTCATTCTTGGTATATATTTTTTTTATTCTTTCTGTCCACACTCAAATAAATCTAGTATAATGTTGTATTCCTTTCTTTCCCTTATGTCTGCAATGCCAAAATCAAACCCATGACCCAGTCTTAGTTTTTTAGTATATGAAAATGGGGATAATAACTTGTCTAAACAGTCACATATCCTGTTTCTAGTCATTATGTGACAAATCTTAGAAAATCTCATTTCTATTTAACAAGGGCATCATAGGTTTCTAACTGAACTGCACTGTACATGTGTCTATTCATGTATTTTTAAACACTGAAATAAACTAAGGCCAATCAGTGTGTGGCCTATAAAAAAATCCTGAGTTAAATTTTGGAAACAAAAAACAAAGACTATATAAAATGTTATTTCCAGAAAAGGTCTTAAGTTTCAAGTTACTGAGTTTTTTATTGTTGTTATTTTGTGGGCTTTTTGTTGTTGGTTGTTTTTTGTTTTGCCACTGAATCATTTCTTCAAATGAAATCTTACTTGAAATCCAACATGTATAAGAGACCTGGCATGACCATCTCCCCAACTTCCCCATTATCTCCCCCTCATCTCGATTGGCTGATGCACGCAGAAGGATCTATCAAGGTCTACTGTGGTGACCATTCATATTTAAAACCGAAATTTCTTTTTTAAATATAGTTTATTGATTTTTTACAGAGAGGAAGGGAGAGAGATAGAAACATCGATGAGAAAGAAACATCGATCAGCTGCCTCCTGCACACCTCCTACTGGGGATGTGCCCGCGACCCAGGTACATGCCCTTAAACGGAATCGAATCTGGGACCTTTCAGTCCCAGGCCGACGCTCTATCTATCCACTGAGCCAAACCGGTTTTGGCTAAAACCAAAATTTTATATTGTGAGTTCCATGACCTTAACAGCCTTTTCGGTTTGTTTGTTGTTGTTGTTTTTACCACTTTATTTCCAGTGCCCAGCATCTGACACAAAGTTTGTGCTTGGTAAATATTTATTGAATGAATAAGTGAATGAATAGGACTTGGACTAAGTCACACACAGCAAATTGGTGAGGCCGAGACTTAGTATATAATGAGTGACTAGACAGGCATTGATGATATTACCAGGATAGACAATAAAGAAGGACAAGTATGGAGAAAGAGATGCTGAGATCACTTTTGGATATGAGAACTTGAGGTACTTATGGGGCATCCAAGTAGAGGTATGAACAGAAAATAAGCTATTCAGCTGATGCAGCTTAGACTTGTCTAGCACTTCAATGCCCCTCTCTTAAAAATATTTTATTTATAAATATTTAATAATATTTTATTGGGGTGACATTGATTAATAAGATATTGGTTTCAAGTGTGCAATTCTATGTCACATCATCTGTATCTTCAAAAAAAAGGCTTTCAGCCCTGACTGGTTTGGCTCAGTGAATAGAACGTCAACCTGCAGACTGAAGGGTCCCGGGTTCGATTCCAGCCAAAGGCATGTACCTTGGTTGAGGGCACATCCCCAATTGGGCGTATGCAGGAGGCAGCCGATCAATATTTCTCTCTTATCGATGTTTCTAACTTTCTATCCGTCTACCTTCCTCTCTGTAAAAAAATCAATAAAATATATTTAAAAAAATTAAAAGAGGCTTTCACTCACTTTACTTTCAAGCACTATGCTAGTCTGGGGATGTTTCCAGCCTTCGCATAGTCACTAGGGCAGCGTTTCTTAAACTTTAATGTGCAGCAAATCACATGAGGAATCTTGTTAAAATGCAGATTCAGAAAGTAGGGCCTGAGCTTCTACATTTTTAACAAGTTTCCAAGTGATGCACCACCCTTTTTGAGTAGTGAGACATTGCAAATCAGTGAAGATGGCACTAAGAGCTGGTTAACATTTCATTTTTTATTTTTGAAAAATTTCACAATCTTTATAAGTAGAGACTGGTGAACTTGCAAAATTCTGTTCCTTCTTAAAATAAATTTCTTCTCATAAACTTTGTTTTTGCACTTTGAAGAACGTTTAGTTTTTTTACGTTAGGTTTAAAATATAATATGGCTTTTAATTCATAATTTAAGATAAGCTCTTTTTAAAAATGTTTTTATTGATTTGAGAGAGAGAGAGAGATAGAAACATCGATGGGAGAGAATCAACATCAATCCACTGGGATCTAGTCCACAACCTGGGCATGAGCCCTGACCAGGAATTGAACTGGAGATCTCTTGGCGCATGCATGGGTCAACGCTAAATCACTGAGTGATACTGGCCAGCCTCAAGATTAAACTCTTAATTTTAATAATAATCCTACAAATTTCTTACTCTTTCAAAGAGGGGTGAGTGTGTGTGTGTGTTTTAGGATTTAACCTTAGGTTAAAGATAAGTTTAGCAGCTATTAGGAATAATGCAGCAGACAGGCAGGCTCTGGAAGTAGGTAAATTCAAGACATTTTGATACATTCAAACACTTAGAAAAAGTAGTAATTGCAAAATAGTGAACTAATTTAAAGCTAGGGAGAGGTATTGCTATTCAGCTATTCTTATCCTGCATTATAGAGATGATCCCATTCTAAAACAATAGAGATTTTTTTTGGGAAATCAGTAGCTTTCTTAGCTATCATTAGATTCATTTAAACTGAATGAATAACTTAGGTATCAGCTATACCTTTATCTGTAAATAATTTTCCCTTTACTGTGATTGTTTTATAAAATTCTATTATTTTTTTCCTTTTTTTAATTCAAAAAATTTTTTAGTCAATATGGTAATGACTAGGTAAGGTGCCAGGTGGGTACTGGAAATACTAAAGTGACTTGATCAATTAGATGATTGTCTAACCACTATGCTGTATACCTGAAATTAATACAAAATCATATTGAATGTAAAGTGTAACTGAAAAATAAATTTTTAAAATATTAATTTTTTTTTTTAGGATTTGTAATAGTTCTGGATACTGAGAGACACCTGTGAATTAGAAAAAGATCTTGAGTTCATGAAACTTAATTTGTGGGAAAAAAGAGACAATAAAGAAGTAAATAAATATATTTTCATGTGAAGGTATGTACTACTTAAAATAAAAAAGAGCAATGAGCTAGAGCAGCGGTTGCCAACTGGTGGTCCACGGGCCACTGGTGGTCTGTGAGGTCCTTTTATCTCCACTTTACAGGTAAGGAAAATAAGATCTAGGTACCTTAGGCCACCTGCCCACGGTCACAGTTACACCAACAAGGAAATCGTAGAGCTGAGATTTGATCACAGTTCTATCAGCTGGGGATACTGAGCTCTGCTTAATCACTTAATTAGTGAGTAGTATCTCAAGTTTAATTCCTGATTCTCTTTACAGGATCTCCATGATATGGCCCACCAATCTTACTTAATTTCCTATTATTACTGAACTCGCATCTTCTACTCCACATTTCAAATATCTTTCTAGTTCTCTCCTGTGCATTGACCTTTTTACTTCAATTAGATTGTAAGCGCCCTAAAACCACTCTTGTTTTAAATTTCTGTGAAGGGCACAATAAATTCTCATTGAATACAGCAGACCCTTTGTATCTATAGGTTCTACACCCAAAGATTCCAGGAACCCGGATAGAAAATATTTTTTTAAATGCTATATTGTTGCTGACATATACTATGTAGTTAGGTCTATGATGGCTATGTCTATACTGAACATGTACAAACTTTTTTTTGGTCATTATTCCCTAAATGATACAGTATAACAACTATTTACAAAGCATTTACATTGTATTAAGTACTATAAGTACCCTATAGATGAATTGTAGTATTCAGGAGGATATGTGTAGGTTGTATGCAAAAACTATGTCATTTCATACAAGGGCCTTGAGCATTCCTGGATTTGATATGGGGAGGGGCTGGGGTAGGGCTCCTGGAATAAATACCCTTCCAGAGGATTGTTATTGATAAAATCGTTAGCACAATCCTTGCCACATACGCATGCTGACTAAATGGTAACAACGAGCCCTGACCGGTTTGGCTCAGTGGATAGAGCATTAGCCGGCGACTCAAGGGTCCCAGGTTCGATTCCGGTCAAGGGCATGTACCTTGGTTGCAGGCACATCTTCAGTTAGGGGGTGTGCAGGAGGCAGCTGATCGATGTTTCTAATTCTCTATCCCTCTTCCTACCTCTCTGTAAAAAATCAATAAAATATATTTAAAAAAAATAAATGGTAACAACGATTACTACTACTGGAGGTTCTGATGCATCAAATTGAAGTTCCATAGGAAACCATAAAATTCTGATCACTAACTCAACCTAAGAACTTTTTGCTTGTTCTTATGATCTAGACTAGACTAATGCTTTTCCAAGCTAAGTTAGTACACTTCAGTCTTTTCTCACCCTTTTACCAAGTGTCAACAAGACAGACAACAGTAAGCAGCAACATTTATCCACCATTACTGAGTTCTTTAATTGGAGGCTGCTTTGGAGGAAATAAAAAAAAGCAATCGTTGTAATGTTTCTGAGGTGAATGGTGAACGTGCTTGCAATCAACCAATTTAACTTAATTTTATGGAGTTTACTAAGTGTCCAAGATTTCCTGGCTCGAGTTTCTGAAGTACAGAGTCTTACACAATCACATCTTCGCTTCGAATAGAATTGCCCCAGATCCAGCGACAGGACTATGGGCCTCGCCATCTGACCTTGCTGTCGGAGCTGCATATACTTCCAAAGCGACAGAGAAAAAAGGAGATCAGCGGCGCCAAAAGTCTCCGTCCCGAAGGTCCCGCTGTCGGCCCCGCCCCAGTGAGCGCAGTCGCGTCACGTGACGTCAGACGCCCTCCCGGAAGTGCTGCTGCGGAAACGGTGGGGGCGTGTCTCCAGGTCCCCCGGCGTGTAGTTACCGGAGAAACGCGGGAAGTGGGGTCCAGGCACCGTTCTCTCCACCGTTAAGGCTGTTTCAGTCCCAGCGCGAGCGGGTAGCCCGGCCGAGACGTCGGGTGCGACGCCATGGAAGTGGTGGAGGCCGCCGCTGCGCAGCTGGAGACTCTGAAATTTGGCGGCACCGGCTTCGGGGGTGGCCACGGCGAGGCGGCGCCGTCCCCGGACACCGTTCCTGTCTCAGAGCCACCGCCGCCACCACCGTCGGATGAGGGGGCCCCAGACACTGGGCGGGAGGGGGAGGCGCAACCAGCCGGGGAGCAGCCGCCTGAATTCGCGCT